CAAATTCACTCAAGGTAGGTATGTGAATTTGCTCCCTAGATGGGTGCACTGTTGCTGCAGCAGCATTCATAGCATGATGCATGTGAATACAATCCTGGACATTTGATACATTTACTTTTAGACTATCTGGAAGGCCACAAATGAGAGGAGTCCATCTGGCTGTATCAATGGGTGCTAGCATTGGGGATCGGTGAAATACATTTCTTTCATACATTGCTTGTATACATACTGCCTTTTGCACAGAGGCTGCTAGGTCTGGAAAGCCTGAAGTTGTAATTATGAGAGGATCTCCAGCCCAGTAAGCAGCTTGAGCAGTTATTGAGTAACAGAGATTATCTGGAGTGGTAGTTAGGAAAACTCCAGGTCCTCAATAACCTTCTGCATCTTTCTCGCTTAACAAGAATTGATTTCCGCCCTTGAGGGAAACTCTCCATATATGCTCTCTTTCTGTTTCATTCGGGCATCTAGTATATTTTTCTTGCAATTTAGATACGTCAGTGAGGGACCAGGGCACAGTACGTATAGTAGTTTGGACTTCCCCATCATCATCAATTAACTCTGTCTTAATTAACAGTCGAATCTTTACTAGTTCTGAATTAAAGTCAGTGTCTTCTAAGTCACTGTTATTATACCAGTTGTTTCCATCCCATGTTTCAGGATCGTCACAATGTATTACTTTACAAATATGTTGGACCGAACTAGAGCATGTTTGATCAATTAATTTATCAAACCTTTCTTGCAGCTGTTCCTCTCGTTTCTCAGCTGCAGTCAGTAGTTTTTCTAACTCTTCTGTTTTGCTTAACAGTTCATCTATTCGTTTTTCCAGTTTTCCCCGGGTCTCCCTTTCAAAATCAAATGATGCTTTAAGTACCTTATTTTCTGATTCCATAGGTTGATATTCTACATTTGCAACCTGTCTGGGAGGAGGTGGCCTTTTGGTTTCCTGTTGCGCACATGATAGACAAGCCCCCAGGATGGCACAAATAACTCCTTTACCTTTTCCTATTTTTACTTTTTGTTGACTCCTACTCTTTATTATTCGTTCTACTGTTGTGTCCTCATCTTTCCAAAATTTCTGGGCCTATTCTGTCCTAGGGTGGGATGGTGCACAATTATGTTCCTGCAGCAGTTTATCCATGCCAATCCTATTTGTGATGCTAATTTAATGTTGCATTTAAGGTGCTGAATTAATTTGGTAAGAGATGAATCCCCTTGCGTTCTAGCCAGTCCTCAGAGATTAGAGAGGTTAGCGCCGTGACTATAGGCCTGACACCAGGTGCACAAACAGCCCATGTGCTGTAGGTCCGGTTGCATTCAGAAGAAGCGGTCAGGTTCACGAATAGTACCATTTATTCTTATGCAGCATCTACAGATTCGAGATTGCCTACGATAAATGCACACACTGCAGTTTGCTATATAGAACTACACACAAAAACTATTGCAATCACACACTTAATTCCCAGGTAATCACTCAGCATAGCTGAGGGCACAAATCTCACCAGAAGGCATCCCTTTAGGGGTCGGGGTCAAGAGCACAAACCCGTCGATCTGTCCCTCCGATTTGGTGTCGGATTATCATCCCTTCAATTTGGATACAAACTCAAGGTAGTATTTATCTAAATGTGTATGCGTGAGTGGGTGGGACCGGGCTCAAGCCATTGTTTCTTGAGTAATAGCACATTCATTGGTGCAATGTGCACGCAGTTGTTGTGGGAAAATCAAGCAGCTGTTTTGTGGAAAAGAGGAAGCACGGGAAATAGTGTCTGCAGAGTTGTGCAAAACATCCCTTGAGAAAAGGGGAAGAGCAGGAGATAAATCTATATGGTTGTGTCAAAACATTCCTTGAGAAAAGTAGAAGAACAGGACCGCGTGTGTTCCACCACGCTTCATGTTCCTCCTTGGTGCCATAACAACACAAATCACTGGATCTCCATCCTCTCTTGTGTTTGTTCTGGGCACCATGTGTTAAGGAAATGTATACTTGCAGTTTCTTCACTTGTTTTGCTTTTCCCACACTTCCAACAGAAATACATCAAAATTATCTCCGTCCACAACTTTCTGGGCTACTTTGGTCTGCTGAGACAATATTGTTAGGTTGGCCTGGGAGAGTGTTGGTTAAGAATGCTGGCTGGGAGTGTCCACACTGGGGCAAGGCACTGGAGAATATGATACAAAACCAAATCTTGCTTGGGTGACTCTTTCTTTGGTCCATCTGTTTTACCCTTAGCTTTAAGGTTATCATAATGTTTATTGTAGATTCAGCTTTTGGGATTGAAGAAGCAAAATCAAAAAACCCTGCAAAAAAAACAAAGCCCCAGGAATGCTTGAAATGAAAAGCTAATTTTTTCACTTAAAGCTTTGCATATTCAGATAAGATATTCTCACTGCCACCTTGTATGCTGATCTGTGCTATAAGATATGGGCAGTTAGATAAACAAATAATGTCCACTTAATTATCTCTGAAATACTGAAAATTGATTGGTGTATTTTATTACACATTGGCTTTTGAAATCTACAGTTTCAGCCTAGATTCCTATAAAAGCATCTATACAGATTTCCAGTCTTCTGTTCATGTAAATCTAACAGTCTTGTGATATGTGTAAGGTAGGATGTTTAATTAAACCACTTACAATTTACATTTTCTGTGCATAAAAATTCTCATTCACCTAATGGAAGAACTCTTGCTCCTACAGCTGTTATTTAGAAAAACAGTCATTATGTCTGTATAACTGAAGGAATGAATATTCTCTTTGAAATATTTCTGCTTCATATGAAGTTTTAGCTTGACAGATTCTGCCTCATCTGTATCTCTGATACCTTCTTCCATTTTGATCATCTGACATTCAGTTTTACGTAAAAGATAACTTAAAAAAATTTTCATATGTACATGTGCTTTCACCCAGGTGGGCAGCTGAACTCCATGCAGCTGCTCGCTTGCTCCCCCCTCTGTGGGATGGGGGAGAGGATCAGAATGTGAAAGTGAGAAAACTCATGGGTTGAGATAAAGACAGTTTAATAGATAAAGCAGAAGCCACACATGCAAGCAAAGCAGAACAAGGAATTAATTCACCACTTCCCATGGGCAGGCAGGTGCTCAGCCAACCCTAGGATAGCTGGGCTCCATCACCTGTAATGCTGTTTTGGGAAGACAAACTCCATAACTCTGAACATCCCCCTTCCCTTCTTCTTCCCCCAGCTTTTTATTGCTGAGCACAACATCATATGGTATGGAATATTCCTTTGGTCAGTTGGGGTCAGCTGTCCTGGCTGTGTCCTGTTCAAACCTCTTGTGTAACCACAGCCAACTTGCTGGTAGGGCAGCGTGAAAAAGAGGCCTTGATGCTGTGTGAATGTGGCTCAGCAGCAGATAAACATCCCAGTGTTACCAACACTGTTTTGGTCACAAATCAGAATCATAGCCTCATACTGGCTACTGTGAAAAAAATTACTGTCCCAGCCAAAACCACTACACAACAAAAGCTGGAAAACTGCTAGCTAAGGTGATGCTTTCAGTTTGGAATGAACAGGTGGGAAAGCATTAAATTTTATTAATTATTAAATATTACATATAGATTCCAGAACAAAATTTGAAAGTTTTTGGAAACAGGAATTTGGATTGCTTAACTGTAAATGTAGGGATGTCTTGTAGAACAAACAGTGGATTTTTTTGGTCTGTAATTTGGAACCAGTAATTACAGTGAGAAGTATGCAAAATCACAGACCTCTTGGATTTTTATTCATTAATTCTTGCTCTGTAGTTTCTGTGGACCGAGACAGATCTTTGTACGGTGAAAAATTGTTTCATCTGAAGATATCTGCTCATGTAAAAATGCATGTTGAGAGAATGTTGTAGCAGAATTTCCCATTAATTTTTTTTTTGAACCTCTGTATGTATAAACCACCCATATGTATATAAAGGGTCAACTTTACCAGGATAAATTTTCAGAGGTGTAAGATTGCTGAAATATAGATTGGATTAAAGATTGGATGCAGTCTTGTAAACATGGGGTTTGAGAGTTGCTCGGTCTTTTAGCTCAGCCCAGTATGCACTGGATTTAATACACATTTCTTCTCCTGCTTTAAGCCTCCAATCTTGGAGTTACCAAATGTGTTTTCTAAAGTTACAGTAATTTGAGGCTAAAGAGGAAAAAACCTTTTCCAAGGGCAACTCACTCCAGAGTTAAACACTAAAAGTGAAATGGAGAACTCTATACCCTGTTTACCATGTAAGGAAAACAATTTTCTGAAAGCCAGAAGATTAAAAAAATAGTGTCTGTTCAATACTGCTAAATACCTAATTTCCTAATTAGCTTTCTTGTTCTTGGGAATGACATTATCTTTCAACAGAAGTTTTATGTATGGAAGACTAATCCATGTCATGAGTAGATTTAATTTAACAGCATAGTGATACAAATGTGTACAAGAAAAAACTGAAGGACATGCAGGTATGAAAATACTGAAAATCTGATCTAAATAAAGGGGAAATGGAGGTAAATAAGTCTCCTTGCCTTCGCTGTTACTTCAGGAGCAGCTCTCTGGAAGATTTGTGCCCCATATTAACAAATGCTGTAAACTATTTTGTATTATATGACAGGTTTGTGGGATATGATAGTAGTGTCATCAGAATTCCTCTGTAATGACAGAACTGGGTTGGAATATAATTGGTGTGTATTTTAATATACAGTTTTCAATTACATGTTCCTTTCAGTATGGCTGTAATGGAATTTCAAGTAAAAATGAACTTACTGTAGAAATTAGATTATTGCAATGGTTACAGCTGAACATGCATATCAATATGCTTTTAATATGATAACTTAAGAATAAATAAATTGTAAGTCCTATGAAATTACAGAATTTTCCCTTCTCTTTACTATTAGCAAAAAAAAATAATGCAAAAAGGTCGGAGTTTCTAGTATGTTCCAGTAAGTTCACTGTCTTATGTAAGATACCGTGTTGACAACCTAGTTCCAAGTGTATTTCCTGCTTGTTTTTTATTTTAGGTCCCAAATCTGATCCCAGTTCTGATGTTTAAATTGGGAACACCTTTGGAGCCTGCGCTTTACAGGGATATATTGTATACATTGCCTGCACTGGGTGTACACAAGGTCAGAATGAAAAATTCTTAGTAAAACAAAAACTATCAATAAGAGGTCATCTATTTTTTAATAAAATATTTAGACTGAGCAATGCATAGCTTGCTTAAAATAACTGATTTGTAAGCCTCAGTATAACTTTCTAGTATTTTGTGTGTGATATGACGTGTTTTAAAGAGTGAAATGTACATTATGCTCTATTGTCTGCAGGGTATCATAATTACATATATATATATGTATCTCATAAGAAGATGCTTTTGGACTCATTATGTGCTAAAGTTTTTCAGAAAATTACTTCCAGTTTCTTTCTGACATTGCAGTTGGGCAGTTATCTCCTTGTTGTACTTGGTTGTAAAATAACAATTTGTAGATTAGTCTTTGTTATTAAGCATAAAAAAAAGTGACATTTCATTAAAAAAATTTCTTTCAGGTTTGTGTAGCTCAGATTCTATGTGCCATACAGATGCTGGGGAGCAGGCCAAAGCTTCAAGCAATTACTTTGCGGCTGATGACATCCTTATGGGAAAGACAGGTTAGCAAATTTTTGTAGTGTAACTAAAGTGTAGTTGAAAAATTTCATTAGCTCTAACCAAGGAAGGAACGTAATTTGGGATCATTCCTTATACTAGTATCTCAATACCAGCGATACAAAGTAAATGGTGGAAGTCGTGCCTATATTGATTCTGATTTAGTGAAAAATTTCAATAGTACATCTTCCATGAAACTGCTTTTTATTTCATCAGATCTCAGACTGGAATTAGGAAAAAAAAAATGTTTGAAGGACAGCTTTCTGCTTTTCATAATGTGCAGTAAGAACAAGACCTTAATTACATGGCAATAATTTGCTCTTCTGTTTATAAAGTAGCAATAGAGATTTGGTCTGACAAAGCCAGTTAGATCTCAGTGCAGCATTAGATTCCACTAATGAAGAAAAGCAATGGTATGCAATAAAAGTGGTATTTAGCAATCATGTGAAAGTGCAAGCAATTGAAAATCCTGCCACCATCCTTTGAAGGTGTGATGATAATTTTTAAATTAAATCTTTTCTAGGATCGAATTTACCCAGAATTGCAGAAGTTCTTGTCAATGTCTAATATGCCCTCTTTGTCTGTTGACAAAGGTGCTCAATGGGAAAAGCTAATTGCTAAAGCTGCTTGTATAAGAGACATATGTAAGCAGAGGTAAGCTCAAGTGTTCTCCGTTTTACGTCTTTGTAAGAGGAAACAATTTTTTTTTTTTTTTTTTTTCACAAAAGCTGCATAATTATTTTTACCTACTCTGCTGTATTAATTGTGGGTAATATTTTTGTAGTTGTGTGAGATACTGACTCAGGCATTGCTAATCTCAGCATCTACTAAGTTTTGGGGTTTATATTGTTACTAATAGAAAGCACTTAGAAATAATGTTAAATTAGAATGTCTTCATCCGGGAACAAAACATGCACCCTATACTGATCCAGAGTAGAAACTTCAAGCATACCACTTACAAATTATAAAAACAGAGTGATGAAACATTAGAAGAAACAACTAACGATATATCTTTGATCTATTCAAAGAAAGATTTGGTACTTTTCTGAAAAGTATATTTTGTCACGTGCAAATTACTGCTCTTTAAACAGATATAATACTGACCACAGAGCACAGTTGTACAAGTCTAATTGGATGATATATTGATCCTTTCTAGCTATAACAATCCATGCATATCAGGACTTGATAATAATTTATAGTTCCTGTTACATTATCAATTACTTCCTCATTTTATGTGCACAATACCATCTTTTCTCTTTGTCACCTATGTTTTGAGTTCCACTTTCTACTTTCCTTCTTTAAGGTCACTTACTAACAGCTGGGAAGATTCATGTATCTTTCAATCATCAACTAAAAAAAAAAATTTCTTAACAAAAATACCCAAATACCTTTCCTTTTCTCTTCAACCTTCTTTAATTTTGCCAAATGTAATTTTTCAATAAATTAAAAAAAAAAAAAAAAAAAGTGAAAACAAGATAATATCAATGCAGCCATTAGATTCTTTTTACCAGGTAAGTGGTGCAGTTAGAGTATGCATATTCTTTGTTCATTTAGAATTTTTTTGGAAGAAAAGGAGATAAAATAGAGTAAGCCTGAATGTTCCATGCATATAAATCACCTAGCCAGGTTCTCCTTACTCCAAGTTCTTACAGAAACATGAGGAACTGCTGAATCAGCAGTTGCCACCTCCCCCCCCCCCTACACCCAGTAAAACTGAATGGGTACTAAAAGACTGGAAAGCAAATACGCACCACATGCAGTCGCTGAAGAAGATAACATTGCAGCGGCAATGAATCTGGAAAAATGTTCCTATCTGATGTAAGAGGGCCAAAAGTCTATTGCTGCCAGAATCCCCAATAATAAACAGTAGGGAGTACTTACAGAAGACTTCAACAAAGAAGCAAATAATGTCTTTAATAGAACATCTGGATTTTCCAGCTCAGTCACTTCCCAAATGATGTAATCTTTTAGCATATGCAACATACTTGGACAAAAACTTCTATAGCTTAACCATTTGATTATCTTTTATTTGGAACTTGACGCCTGCTGATTTAATTCTCTTATGTCAGTCAGCCTTTACAGCTCTCTATCATATCCTCCCTTATATCTTTTTTCCCTCCCAGTTTTACTCTGTTTTAGTTGTCACTTAAATAAAACTGATACTTAATGAATTTTTGTGTATAGAATAGAACTTGTGTGTATGGATGATTATTGCCATTTATCTTCATGTTTTTTCCTTTAGGCCATACCAGCATGGAGCAGATATGTTGGCTGCAATTTCCCAGGTATTAAATGAATGCACAAAACCTGATCAAGCTTCACCTGCTGCCATAGTGTTACAGGGTCTTCAGGCACTTTGTGAGGCTGAGGTAAGATTAAATGGGCTACTTCCCGTGTTTCATGTTCTGCTTGTGGATCATGGGCTTTTTTCCTAGCTGGCTTTTTATTTTTTAAGAAAATATTCGATTGTTGCAGATTTTTTTTTCTTCTGAGAATTTTAATTCCTCTTTTCTGACATCAGTTAATTGTTCCTGAGAAACTGTACTATGAAATTCTACTACGGCAGGCCAGCCCTTCAGTGTATGGGTTGAAATTTTAGGTCAGCAGTGCAGTTTATTTCAAAGACATGCTTTCGTGCATTTTAACTTGGGGTCTGAAAAGCACAGCTCTTTGGCACATAAATCTGGCCGAAAAGTATGTAAATGATCTAATTTTTTTATACCTTCTTACTGGCCTGCTCGTCTGGATCTCATTCACAAAGTATACCTGATAGGAAGTGAAATCACTTGTAATGCATCTGTTTAATGCATTCATTACTTACTGATGAAGAGGACAATTAAGCATCACAGCATGCTGCCCAGAGAGTCTGTGCTGTCTCCTGTCTCCATCCTTGGAGGTTTTCACATTCCACTTGTGCAAGTGTGTCTGATCTCATAGTGACCCTGCAGGAGGTTGCTCTAGAAATACCCTGAGGTCCTTTCGAACCCAAATTATCCTCTGATCCTATGATATCCCTAAGTTAGGAGCCAAGGCTCTTTGTTTCCACAGCGACATCCCAAATGTGATGGTGCAGGCACAGACAGACAAGCTGTGAATCACACTATAGGCAAACAGTGGACTATGCAGGCCATCTGATTTAGTGGACTAATGGTAGCCTGCAGGAATATTTGATTACCCATTTTCTGTCAAACAGCAATTTGAAGTTTAGGTACTTCACTTTTAGCACAGTGTTTACTGCAGTGAGGCCAATCCAACAAAATCTAGCCGTTGCCACATTATACACTGAAGTCACGTCAGCAGTTCAGGAACAACGTAGTAAAGGATTAGCTGTCCATGCACATTAGTATTCAATATAGTTAAAAAGCTTCAGACAATGACTACTAAGAGCCAAGTTATTTAGGGTAATTACTGTGTTTGGTTTTGGTATGGAGTTTGGCTCTTCTTCAGGTCACATAAATTTTTTGAATGCTCGCCTCAGTATTTAAGCAGTGATTTCCCAGGCTGAACTATATTTAGGCTTTGTTTTCTGAAAAGAAGCAGGAGCTAGGCCCATGACAAATGTCACATCCTCATTTGAGAACAGACATAATGCACCACTGTTAAGTGGAAGGCTGAGACAACTTCAGGTACTAAGGATGGAAGAATGGAAGGAAAGAATCACTTTGTGGACAGGTACCAATTTTTCCTGTCCTAATTCTTGCAGGCCCTCCTCACCTTGCTTTGTTTCCCCAATTTCATGCAAGTATAATGTTCTTGGAGACTAGATCTGTCACCTAGGTATGCTGAAATTTATTAGAGAAATCTGTTGTGGTTTGGTAAACTGGGTAACCATTTGGTTTAAGTAATGCAGCTTGTCCCTTATTTAGTATTTGGACTCTGGTTTGCAGTGAGGAAACCTTAAAGGGCCTAATCATAGAGGTTGGTCAGGATGTTTTGTTTTGGTGCTTTTTCTCTCTGCCACTGTCTCAATAGATAACCATGGGAAAGGGATTTATTTGCTTTGAACTTTTTCATATGCAGCTGCTTAGGTGCAGGATTTTAGTGAGTACCTAATTTTCAGTCAACTTCTGCACCAGTATAACAAATTAGGTTTTTGTATGTATAATGTTGACATAGGTGATGATGGAACCCTACACACTGTATGGCTTTGTCAAAGCTGAGTTCTGAGAGTCTCAGAAAGGCTGAGGTAAAAGTACTACTATAATAAAGCATCCTGTGACACTGACTAATTTTTTTTTTTTTGGTTGAATGTTGTGGAAGAACAGTTTTCCGTTTTGTTGACTGCAGTAATTGTTTTGTGTAAATGTAATGGCTTTACACACAAAGTATGTACTACATGAATAGCATTAAGGGTATCAGCTTAGTTTTTGTGGTATTTGCAAGAAGGGCTAACCCTCCCTCCCCCTCCCCCCCTCTTTTTTTTTTTTGGTGGGTACAAAAAAAAAAGCCTTTAATGAATAGTACACAGTGACTTGCACATCAAAAATGTAAAATACGCACAGTTTTTGCCAAGCCACATTTCCTATTTCTGGGCAAATACTTCATTTTTTTCCCAGTGATTTCAGCAGAAGCCAGTGTGCTTCCTGTGAAGCCATCTATCTTGTTATCTAATTGATTTCATGTTATCAAGTACTGTATGCAAGCCAAGAAACATTCAGTAATGGAAGTTCTAAGCATAGTGTTTAAAATCCCTTTCCAAGCTTTTTGTGGAAATGTTTTCTTGCTGTTTATTCTCTCAGTCCACATGTATTTGTTTTATTGATCAGAAAGAAACCAAAATAACAGAGTAATATAATGAACTGAAGAGTTGTGTAAGAACAAATTATGTTGTCTGAATTTAACATTTAGTAGGAATTACAAAGCTAGATGTTGTTTAAACAGTGTAGACTCAAAAACTGTAATCTTAAAATGTTGAGTGTGTGTTGAGATATTCTTGGGGGATCATTACTTTCTTCTCAGGCTCAGACTTATGCTGCCTTCACTTTCTTGGGTCTGATTGTCGGGGTTTGAGCCTGGTCAGCAGCTAAATGCAATGCAGCTGCTCACCCACCCTTCTCCCACTTGGGAATGGGGAGGGAATTGGACGGGCAAAGGGAGACTCATGGGTTGAGATAAAAACAGTTTAATAACAGTAACAGAATAATACGGTGACAGTATCAACAGGTAATGTACCATACAGCTGCTCACCACCTGCCATCCGACAGCCGCCTGCTCCCGGCTGGCGATCCCAAAACACAAAGATATCGCAGCCACACTCCGGAAGTGAGAGCCCCTCCTGGCCCACTCCTGCCTTTATATAGTGAGCATAATGTCACATGACATGGAATATCGGCCAATCCGGGCCCAGCCCTCCAGCTGTGCTCCCCCAGCCCCCACCCACCCGCACAGAGGCAGGGCACCCAGAACTGGAGAGTCCCTGGAATCTCAGTGTGCATCAGCCTTCCTCCAGCTACCAAAATGAACATGAACTTTATTCCAGCCTGAATCAGGACACTGATTTACTCCTCATTTTCTTTTTGCTTTACTTTATATCCTTGGCCTTGTACATAGTCCACATCATAATTTCTATTTGAACTCTTCAGGCTGTAGTGTAGGTGCAGCTCCTTACCTGTGCAGATCTGCAGTTGAAGAGAGCTGCCAGGCTCCCAGGATGTGCTCTCTGTGGGTAAGGGTTTTTCCACATACTGAATGAGTGAGTAAAATAAGTTGACTTACTGGCCTCCATTCAGTTTAACTGGTCTGGTGAACACTCACCATCAGAATATTTGCCATTTTACTTGATTCCCCAGTTATCTGCTACTTCTGAAAGTGCTGCTGCTGCTTTTTCTCTTTTTCCTCCATCTGAACTATGTGATTAATGCCCTCACTGAATGAAAGCTGTGTTACCAGCTCCACTTCCAAGTCAGCTACCAAAATCCATTTCAATGCATCTTCATTACTGGTGCAATTTCTGGTTTTTAAAAGCTTGAAGTGTTAAAAGATATGGTGGCAATGTAAACCTACCTAATTTTTCCTCCTATTAATGCATCTTGTATCATAGAATCATAGAATAGTTTGAGTTGGAAGGGACCTGTTAAATATCATCTAGTTGCAAACAGTTCCTTCTACTCCACCTGCCTCTGCACTCAACCTCTTTTCATCTTGAAAACATTCACTACAGTGGCAACTTCATTTTCTGTTACTTGATGTGTGGCATACTAGTGTAGTCTAGTTGGTGTTACCATGTTGCTTTCTTCTCTTCCTCTCCTTATTTTTGCTTTTCCAAGCTTTGACATTTTATGTATTTTGACACTTCATTTGTTTTTTTTTGCAAGGCTGGAACAGAATTATAACCTTGTATTGTGGTTTTGCTGGTAAGATAGCTCGTATTCTTGCACTTTTTGTAAGAAATGGTATATAACAATAACTTCAGGAAGACTAAATTCGTCATTGTATTTAAAGTGAAGAAGTTACTACTTTTTCTAAGCTTAAGAAAAGTTTATTTTCTTCAAAGCACACAATATGAGTTATAATTTTAAAAAATGTTGTCTTAAACTTTAATTTAAAAATTAAATGGCTAACAGTCGCTTGTAACTTGCATGTTACGTCTCCCATTTGGCCTTCAACTTCGTGTCAAATTCATTGCAAACAGAAAATAAATTAACGAAACTTGTGCTCCAAGTGCTTCTAATCTGTTAGTAGAAACTGGAAAACTGCTTGTGTAGTCCACAAAAATAATTCCCCTTTTGTAGCTGAAATTTCAATGTAAGCATTTTTCATTTGAATGTGGACATACTCCGTAGACAAAATGACCATGGCCAAACTTTTTACTGTGGAAATGGCATTGAAGAGTGATTTGGCTCTTAATCCTTAGGTTTAATAGTAGCGCTTCTGCCTCTGTAGCACCATTGTGTTGTCAAGTCAGCTGGTTTTGGAGTATTGGACAAAATGTGTTTTGAAAAGAAGATGGTTTTATTTACCGTAGTTTATTCCTAGATCATACTTGTCTACCAGTGTCACAGTGCAGCCAGGGCCATTTTTTGTTATCCCAGTGTGTGTCAGAGTCCAATATTTTCTGAACAGGTTATTTTAGATATAACGTGTGGAGGATGTAATGTGTAATATCAAATTGACTTATTTGAAGATAGTTGTTACACAGGATTTCTGATTCAGCAGTGTGATATGAAGTGTACCAAAACCACAATACAAATGTAAGTTACACTTAGCAAAATACAGTAATTTCAATATACAGTTCAGTCACAATACCACTGTGATTCCTATTACTGGTCTCTATAATATGCTCATTGTCACAATGCTGAGTGTCTCCAGCTGTCAGGAAGGAGTATATGGCTTGAAGCCAGCTCAAGCTCATTGGTCTCTTCAAAATTCTTCTTTTAGCTGTCTAGTTTTTATACTCTGTTGGGCTGAGCCAGGTATTCACTCCCCCATATGCTGATCTGACTGACTCAGGGACATGTTCACACTCTTTTAGTGAACTGGGGAAGAGCATTTACACCATCAGTTGATGCACTGAACTGTTTATAGCTGTATATCTAAAACAAAGGTCCTGTGTGTGTTGAATCAGTTTCTTTGCAACAGCTGTGGTCAGTCCCATCCTGTATTATTTTCTGAGCTTCACGGGCACATCAGCTTTGACCATCCAAGCTTTCTTCCATTGTAGGGGTTTATTGGTCAGTCACATTGTGTAGCACTTTCACAAAGCAGTGGCATGCCCTTTCATTTTTTCAAGTTGCAGGTGTTTCTGTAGCTGACTGTTAAGTCTAACACTCTGCAGTAGAGGGTGTGTCTGCTGGGTTTTGCTGCAATTACATGTTCTGGAAAGATTCTGATAGGTTTTATCCTAATTGTAGTTTAGAGGAGGTTCTGAATTTCAGGCAATCATCATGAACGATGAGTAGCTGCTCTGCAATACATGATGAATACCATATATTGACTTGTTAACTGACATGTTTACTGCATATACTGATTCAGTTCTAAGGTTTTACCTAAAAGTTAGAAAGGAAGACAAGTAATTCAAGGCTATTTTCGTATATTATCAGACTGAGGAATCTGTTTTGTATTTCTACTGAACCCAGTGGATTGTTTTAATAAGAATTGCAGTTGTACTGGGATACCCTTTTATTGTTATGCATACTCTAGGAAGAGATGTTAAGGTTGCTAAGAGGTGATGGAGTTACTTAGAAAACTGTTAAATGAGAGCTTGCGTTTCAACTCTTGTAGTGCTGCACAGCAGTAAACCCTTTACTTCAGGAGGACTTTCTGTCTGAAGAAATGCTTTTATAACAATTAATCTGTACAACTCTCCTGTGAGTATTCCTTTTTTTAGCTGGGAGAAATCAGAGCCTTTACTTTCTTTCAAAACTTCAGCAAAATAGAACTCCAGTGTCTGCTTCCTTGTCCTTTCATATGACTCAAAAGATTAGTCTTTTCTCTCTATACTGTAAAATTTTATACTAATTATGCATGGCACTGAGTTACCAGGCATAGTATCTCAAGTGCCTTGATGACAAGATGCTTACCAATTTCAGAGACTCATGACTTTGAATTAAGGATAGTTTGTTCAAGTGCTTAAGGTTAATAATGAACTTATCTTGAAATATTGTATTCAGTAGGACTGTTCATGTATTTAAAGCTAAACTAACAGTGGAGTGCCTTTTGGAATCGAGGTCTGAAAAGTTAGGCATGTCCCCAGAATATTCTTCCAGACATCTTGCTATGGGAGTGAACAAGCTACTGACTCAATAAATAGAGACAGTATTTTTATGTTTTGTGTGAAACAACAGTGTAGTACAGAGGTTGCTATAAATATATTTTAGAATGCACTTCTTTGTTTTTATTCAGTGTAATGTCTGTTAGCCCCAGAAGTCATAGTTGGCTAGAGCAAAAAAGCCAAGAGATTAGCTGTTGCTTATCAAACACTGAATGTGAGTGAGGAGAGGGTTTGTGGTTTGGTGCTAATGAAACCATTAAATTGTGAGAAACAAGTTGTAGAACTTCCCCCCCCTTCCTTTTTTTCCTCCTTAGAGCTGAATATATCGCATATGGATTTTGGCTATTGGTGTATATAATTACAAAAAAATACTTAGATCTGTTAGGGAGGCTAACTAATGCTATTTACCATCCTGTAATGCTTCCCAGTGTATGTTGGCTCTGCGTGAGAATTCTCTTTTGATAGTCTTTTTGCTACCTAACCACTGGGGTACACATAGCTAGTATTACTCAGTTTTGAACCTTGATTACTCAGCTTGCTCTACCCTCTATAGGTATTAAAGAGCAGGTTAAACTTTTTTCTATTGCAGAGTGTTAGCTCTTTGTTTGGAGGATTTCAATTTTTTGTTAGTGTTTTTTCCCAGTGATTTCTAATCTGTGAAAAAATACCAACTTTAGAACCATACGCTGATCTGCAATGACAGGCTACTTTGCTTTTCAGGGTATCTTTGTCTATAACCAAATAGTCCTCCTGAGTTGGAAAAAACAGAAGCAGCGTGATTTTTCCAGTTTATACTCAATTCTTGGTGGCATGGAAACCTGCAGATACTCCTGTTTTTATCTGCCATTGTCAATATTTTGTTGTGGTTGCTTTTTGTTCCCCCCCCATGCTCCTCCTCTGGGATTGCAGAAGTGTATCTAAAGTGACTTCAGCTTCTATTCAGTGCAGAGTAACTTTCTGGTCTATAGTGTAACTGCAAAGGCAGATTTAGAAGGCTGAACTTACAGTGTTCTAAGGACTTGGAAAGCAAATCGCAAGACTCTAAATTCATTATTAACACAATAAAAATAAATTCTATGATTTTCAAACCACTTTCACAGTTTTTGTAAGTTAACAGTTGGAAGCATGATGCTACTATCATCTGTGGTTTCCTGACAATTACTTTTTTTTATGTTTTTGTTTCAATGAAGTGATTTTTCTCACTGTAAATTGTAAGAACTGACCTGCTTAGTTTAGGGATAATGAAGCTGTGGTATTAGTGTTTTGTTTTAGTGTGACATTTTCACAATGATTTCTGGATTCCTGCAGTTTTACATTCTTCTTTTGTTCCACAAATTTGGTATTTGGTTGTGTTTAAAGATTAAGGGCATTTTGTTTTGCAGTTCTCCCAGGAACTTATCTTCCTTTGTAGCTTCCTCTGGTTTCATCCTGTTGAACTCCCAGAGACAGCTTGCTTTTAAGCTAATTTGAGCAAGTGAAGTAGAGCAGTAGTGTTATATGAAAATAGATCAACAGTTTTATGTGTATTGATAACAGTGTCCTACTTATTCCTACTGGTAGCTGCTTTATCTGGTGAAGTGTTGTGCAATATTACTGCATGATGTCAATTAATATACTGCAAGACTGTTAATACAAGTGAATTTTTAATATGCTTGCCTTTTTTCTTTTTATGAACCCTATATTAATTCCTGTTTCCAAGTAGGAAGAAAGAAGGCAAGTGATGGAAAGAAATGTTACTTAAATTAAGTTGGGATTGCTGTTAGTAGTGGTGCCTCCCACTTTTCCTCCAGGTTGTTTGCATCCGTTCTACATGGAATGCTCTGTCACCAAAGCTGAGCTGTGATACAAGACCCCTCATTTTAAAAGCGCTGAATGAACTGTTTGCCCTGGTTCCTTCGTTAACAGTGAATACAAAAGAATATGAGGTATGTACTCATGGGCTAAGGTTAGTCTCTTCTTTTAGTGTGTCTTTGTATATGAGTTTTAAATGTGCCTGTTTGTTTTGAATATCTCTAAATTGGACCCACTCCCTAATTCAGGTTAATCATAATGCACGTTTCCATACAGTTTCACAATCTTAGCCTGCATTAGTGTGTGCTGGGAGATAGGTGAGAAATTTCAGTGCAAGGTTGGTCAGAGGTTTCCATCTCCCAGAATGTGAGGACATGTGAATGTGTCTACAGTTCAAACCTGAGCCCCTTCCACTTTCCTAGCTCACTGCATGTTGATGTGACAGCAGTTTGCTTCAGGTAACTGCCTCTATTTCAGCTGCTTATTTGGTTAAAGAAAATCTGAATGCCTGTTTTGTTTGCTTTTATAGAGATTCAAAGCTGAAGTTATCAGCTTCCTTTGGAACAACACACAAAGCAAGGTAGGTGATACAACTGAAAGTTAATTCCTGATGTCAGCAACTGGATATTAAGTTTTAGACCCTTCTGTCAAGACAAGGTTGTCACTGTCAGCAATCTTACTTTTTAATAGTTTTCTTGTCATTGACCATTTATCACTGTTTTTGAAGCAACGTAATGCACATGAAAAGAAGTAGCTGATTGTCCTGACATCTACCACTTCCAAGAAGAATTGTAACACAAACTAGTTTGACTCTGCTGGTAGACTTCAGCCTTTACGTGGTGAAGCATTCTTAGTGAAGCTGCAGCTATGACAACTCAGTTCTTTGGTGGGGTATTGTAATGCAGTGGGAGTGCTGAACCATCATCATTATGGGGCTGATGGAAACAAAGTATTTTAAATAACTCAGATATTTCTACATCAACTACCTTCACAGCAGTAATGCGTATAGAAATCATAATGTTTGCTATCAAGCCTAGATAACTGGTCTTGCGCAATTGCAAATGCACCTCAGGAAAATACTGTTATTTTAAAGTCTTTTTCAGCAGTCAGTGATTAGTGGGTAGGCTCTTTGTATGTGGAGTGTCCAGTAGGTAGCAATACCATATGTTCTGTTTGTGATTTTCTTTTTCTTCCTGTTAATTTTCTAGGATGCTCTTGTAGCCATTTCAGCCTATAAATCACTCTCGTCATTTGACTCTGAAGAACATACAATTCTTCATCTTCCTGAACAGGTAGCAATGTTGTACGCTTAATAGTAAGGACATCTGACACTTCCATCTGCTATGGTTTGTATCATTTTGGAAGGGAATCAAGGCCTTGTGCCATCTCTACCAGACAACCATCAGAACCTCATAGAAGGAATATGAGTTGCTGGTGAAATGGGATGATACTATGTATGATTAGCATAACGAAGACGAGAGGAGAAAGGCACAAATGGAAGCTGAATGCTGTCTAAGTAGTCAGAAGGTGTTTTTTCTTCTTTCATTAGTTAAATCGGCAGGTTATTTTTGGGCACCTGATTTGCATTTTATGCTCTTCTGCTAATGCTTGCAGTTGAGTCTTGACATTAAGCAGCTCTTGTGATTACTGCTTTATCCATTGCAGTCACACTCATTCTTAGTGCTTTTGTTCCTGTAATGGGCAAGTCAGTTTGAAAAGTAGGTGCTGGTTTTGGAATTAAGCTGGAAACTTTACCATTGTTTCTGTTCTGAACTTTTACAGCATAACTTTTTGCTTTTTTGTTGATAAAGGCAGTCAGAAAGGAATTGAGGTACTTACTGGAAATCTTTTTCAGTACATAGAGGGCTGGTAAACCCTGAAACTTCAGTCTGGTTGGTTGACTCCATAACCTTAAAAAATGAAAGAGTGCAAGGAGATGAACATACAAGTTCATATATGTGACTTTATTTTTACAATAAACTTGTAAAAGAAACTAGGCAATAATCAGTAGTCCATTGGTACTTTATGGTGTAGTAAATACTTCTGTAAATTTTTGTTTACTGCATTATTGCAAGATTGGCTCCATTTGCATGTTGTAACTGGCTATTATGAAAAGGTCAGAATAAGCAGCTTGAAAATTAAAAACCATACCTGCTTTATATAAATCAATGAGAAGAATTCAGCATAAACCTTAGAAATGAAATACGTTTTACATAGAAGATCACAAGGTAGAATAAGGGAAATCTCTAAACACTGCTGCAATACTAAATCTTTAACGGTAATTCATAGCTCTGTATTATTGGCACTGGTACTTCATACTCATTAGAAAATGAGTAAATATGTTTTCATTGAAAGTATTATAAATATATTGCAGTTTTTCAAATTATGAAAAGTAGTATGGAAAAATAATGTCTATCAGAAATGCTCTGTGTAAATTAAAGTGCCAATATAAAATACTGTTTTACTCTAATTGAAAAAGAATCAGAGTGAAAATGAAGTTTTAGTAATATTAGTTCAGTCTATAAATGTCAAGATTAATTTTACTGCTACAGACATGGATTTACATACCCATGTGATTTTTATCAACCAGTTTTGGCTTTCATTCAGGTAGAAGAAAAGCTTTTATTCTTTCAGCTTCAAATTAATAAAATGGAGTAAAATTAATTAAATGGAGAACTTTTAGTTGGTATTTTTGACACTTGGTTGACACTTAGGATCATGAAAGGTAAGGAAGATCCAGAATTTTTGTGCTGACACTTCCTTTTTTTTAATCTTTCAGGCACGACCTGAAGTTGACTCGTTGAAGGAGGTAGTCATGAATGAAGATGAAGAAGAGGAGAAGGACGCAGCAAGTCTTTTTGTTCCGGGTTCTTCATATATCAAGCTGTTGTCTCTAATGCCAGCTTCTGTTGTAGGAGGTATAACATATTCAGTATTTGAGGTTACTTTGCAGATTTATAATCACAGTGCCTGTACAGACACGTCGCTTTCTTATAATCAAGTGTCATGTTGAAGTGCAGCCATTTCTCTTTTTTTTCCCAGGAAAATATCTTACCAAATTACAGGAAAAAATGTAAAGTAAAAATTCAGAGGAAAACAAAACCCCCAACCCATTTTTAGGAAGACAGACAGTCAGAGGTCCTGATGGTGGAAACAGTGCTTATAACTTAAAAATCCTTATCTGTCCTATGTGAAAAGCCAGTTGCTTACTACTTCAAGTACCCATTGTTTCATCACAGTTCAACTTCAATAGGGAGGACTGATCAGATATTTTTAAAGGCAGCTCTGTATTTTAGCTCGGCATGGACTGAAGAAAAAATACCCACACCCAAAACCATAGTGTTTTATAAACAGACTACTAATAGCATTAAAGCAATGCTGTATACAAAATCTACTTAATCAATAAAGATGTTAGTGCTATGCTTAATGCTTAATTTTAGTGATGAATATGATATAGACACATGCTTCAACAGATGGTCTCTGGTTGATGCCATTGTTTTGCCACCTATGCAGTTGAATCACTTTTAGTAATTGGGATTTTTAATGTTCACTTGATTACTCTCATTAATGCCATCTTTCACTTCCAGTTATACTATTGTGACATTAATGCCTGAACACAGGCATTGTTATTTCACTACTGTTTGTAGAACGCCTGGGATATTGATGTGTGATTGCAACCTGTAAACACTGCCAAGAGATAGTATTTTCCCATAGTGGAGGCTCCTGGAAGGATCCATTCATTAAATACTCCGTGCACTGGAGCCTGAAGTATGTGCAACCTCACCTAGAGAGTGTCTATGCGCTAACTAGTAAGTTCTGGAAGCTTTGTGGGGAAGACTGACATAACCTTCTTCAACAAAAGAGAGTGATGTATCTAGACAGAAAACTCAAGCTGTGTAATAGATGCTGAGGTAGACAACTTACCGGGAACATGGGAAACAAAAATGGGCTTTAGGGAGAACAGACTGAATAAAAAGATGCAGCCACCACAGACTAGTAAAAAACACACATGCAAATTGCTTGTTGAGCAAAAGCTTTAGTGACTAGCAGCGGTGGTTGTTGTGATTAATTGCTGCACTGAAAGGGTATGAAACTGCATTCATGAGACAATGTCCAAGATAGGCCAACAAAGCCTCTGTTCTGTTGCAGCTGAATTTGTATCAGCTCATCTGCTGGAATCCTGCTGTTACACCTTATTGAGACTAATTCACTACTTCCTTAGTGCTTAGAAGAAGGACCAAGATGCTTTTTAAGAAGACAGTCTCTGTTTCTAGGAGCTTTCCCTGAAGTCCTTATCAGAGCACACCAAGTCAACTGACATTTCTAAAGGAAGTTTAACTTGCTGCTTGAAATCCCTCTTCTTGCTTTTTATTGCTGATTCCTTAAACTCTGGATTGGTGCTTCTTTTTCTTTACCTCCTCTTCTTTAATCCTTGCAGGAAGAGGAAAATTTTTAGGTATTTTCAGCCTCTGCATGCTTCTTCCTGAAGAGTTGAACACTTAATACTATGGCAGCTGCAGTTAAAAGGTTCCAACCAGAAGGTGGGCTTGGTGCTGTCATTACTGTGAGAAACAAGCTTACGTATATCAAATAACAGTTTTATTTGGGGACAAAGTCAGTGGAGCAAAGAATACAGCGCTGGGCACAATGGCATGCCCTGCCCCAGCAGGGGCTTCTTTTTATAGAGCAACCAGGAGATTTCATTGTTTAAGTGAAAATGGCTGGTTTTCTCCTCTTTACACCTGCGCAGTTCCTTTCTCTTTGTTTCTCCGAGGCTGTCTCTCTCAGTACTTTTCCAGTGTCCTCGGTGGGGGTGTGGGATTTTTGGGGGGGGGGGAGTTGGAGGAGCGTCGAAGTCCAGGTTCTTCTTCATCAGGAGTTCTTCGCTCCCTTGTCTGCTAGCTTCCATTCTTCCCCAGGCCGTCCCATCCAGGTTGCCCTTTACATGACACCTAACCACAGACCACTCCCACCATCCTCTCGCTTGCCCAACTCCCCACAGTGCCCAACCATATGCCTAATTTGTGATCAAAAAAGGCTTGCTTAACTTTTATAATTTCAACAACACTAATTTAATAACACCTTTAGCCTAACTCAATACAAGTAATTGTTTAATTACTTTTAGCAAAAGCAAAATTCTTCTGTTATTTATCACAAAATCTATTGAATTGTGGAGGTTTTTTCCACAAACCTTCTCCATCTCTGTGGGAGGAAAATGTCTAAGCTTGCAAACGAATCTCTGGGGCCTATTTCTGCAACAGAGCTGAGGAAAAATTAGGAAACAAAGTAAACGTAGACTTTCTATGGCAGTTGGTTGGAACATGCTGCAATTCCAAATTACTATAGATGTCTGCACATGTGAAGCATTGCAAAATAAAGTTTTAGGTAATATTTTCTCTCAATCTCCATTAAAACTGATTTGTCATTTATGTTTCCATGTTGTGTCAAAGCATTAGCGTCCACAGGGTATCAGAAAGGGTATGACAGCCTTATTTTTTATTTTAATAGTTTTTCATTCCAGGTGCCTGAGACTTGTCTGAGACCTGGCAGTCATAGAATTAAAAATAATCCCATATAACAAACTATAAACTTCTGACAACAACTATTTAATTTTTAATAGTAGTAGTAGTAGTATTGAGAGGTGTATCTCTGCAGGAAGGATGCTAAGAATTTTGTTCCTGTGATGTTAGTTACCTCTTTTGCTCATTCAGACTGATTCCAAGCATTAAAATATAGTATTCTATCATTTGCTGCACATCTAGGTGTTTCATTAAATTTATCCAGATTTTCCAGTTTGAGTTATATCTGGCAGCCTACATCTTTGGGTTGTATCTCTTGCCTGAAGAATTTGTTTTGGATGGCTTATAAGTATTAAGTCCTTTGGCATAAATAGCAAGTGCAATAATATGACAGCACTGGTATTACATGTGCTAGGGTGTCTCTGTCAGTGTGGATGGTTGCCAGCAGAGAAAGAGCTGTCCTCTTTCAGAGAATTTCTTCTCTGTTGCCACCCTAAACAAAAAAGCTTTTATAAAGGTCTAGAACAGGTAGGTGAATAGTGTTTTCATGTCAGTAAATTTAGTTTTGTTGGAAGAGAATATAATATTTAGGATTGGGGACAAAGATTTATAGTTTCTGTGTGAATCACTGTAGTGAAAACTGCTAACTGCATTCTGAGGTTTTTGCTTGAGGAATATTGGCATTACAGGTGGGGGAAAAAAAATCTCCCAATGTAAGTGCCCTTTCTGCCATAGTACAAAAACCTATCAGAATTAGACTGCTGCTCCACTATAAAGTTGAATCAGGAAGGAGTATTGCTGAAAGTCATGGGAACTTTCTGCAAATAGGAAATATGAGGAAGTTCCAGCATAAAACTATTTTATTCAAGCTGCCATAGGTATTTTTTGGACACAGAAAGGATGAGTTTTGTTTCCTTTATCCTCTAGTTCCTAACCAAAATGGGACTGCATTTGATTTGGGAATTTTTATGCCAAAGTTTCAGGCCTAATGTGAAACAGTTGTTATAAATACCCTTAAAACTTCATTGTATAATGAAAACACTAACAGTCTTGTAAACATAGCAGGTTTGAAAGGTGCTGGTACAATATTGGCTCTCAGTTATATGGTCATAAAACCATGCAGTAACATACACGTACATAGATGGTAGATACAGAAACAAACCTTTTTTCCTAATGTCTGCCTGTAAAGGCTGCTTCAGATTGACTTCAGATTGACAAATGAACAAAAACTTTGTGTTAATTCTGTATAATTTTAAACCTGGTTAGACTATAAAATGCATAGCTTGAGAGCACAGAACTTCATGAACAATTTGATTGCTATGGGAACAGAAATCAAGGTAATACTTCTCTCTCTCTGCATGCCATTTGCATATACACGCTCTGTACCCATCTACCCTCTTTGCATTGTTCTTCTTTTAAATTTCTTTAAGAACAACCTTTTAGAGACAATATTTTTCACTGTGATAAACATCAGTTTTATTTCTCATTGTCCTTCTGTCAGCATGTGCCAGTGTGGTGTCAGAGAGACTTGCTAAGAGTCCGCATTTCTTTGACCTTGAGCTTTCATCTGAATGTGTCATACCTAATTTATCTAAGCATATCTCCCCTGAAGCACAGGTGTCATTTTGGGTTTTCCAGGGTTAGAGGTCTCTCAGTCATCAGACTCTGACGTTCCCTTTCCTCTCTCCTCATTTTCTTGCACTTTATCCAGCATTTGAAGAGTTTGCAGCATCACTTGTGAAACAGGAGATGACCAACATGCCCCGTGGTCTGTATCATTCTGCCTCAAGAGAAGCGATCATGCGCTCAGACCAGGGGAGGACTGTGGCAAGTGTTCCATACTTCTTGCTGAAAATGTATGAGAGGAGCAATCAACCAGGCATGACCGCAGGACTTGCAGGTAAGCTATCCCTTTCCTGAAGTTAGACAGAATGCATGCTTTGACCCAAAGATTCCTATGAATCTGCGAGTGAATCAGTTTAAGAAACACTGATGTATTATGCCACTTGCATATGCTTACATATGCTTTTAAATTGTTGGCTTTATTAAGTTAAGTTTACTTTGCTTTGGGTTCTCCACAGACTTAGGCAAGACTTCTGAATTATTAGCATGAATATTGGTCTTGACCTTTCTTTTTCCCTTCACTCCCTCTTTAAGCTGGCATGTTGTTGTGTTACGACCTTCCGGTCCATATGGGTGAAGATGGCAAGCCTATTAATCGGTTTCTGGTCAGCAGAAGACATAAGTTCCAGCAAATGTTGGTGGTCCTCATTCATGAGGTAAGTTGCTGGCTTTTCTTCCATTTTCAGAAGTATTGTACTTCCTCCCCTTCCCCCGTCCCTTACTACCTCATTTGTTTATGCGAGTGTCCTGGGTTGAGTGAGTGGTGGAGTTCTTGGTGGCAGGGGAGGGGGCTATCGGGGTGGCCCCCTGTGAGAAGCTTCTCAAAGCTCCCCCAGCTCCACGTCAGCTCCACTTCTGTTTGGGAAATTGAGCCAATCGGCTGTGCCTCTGCGATAACGTATTTAAGAAGGGACGTGGTGACGGGCAGTGGGATTTGTGAGGAGGAGTTGCTGCAGCTGCATGAGTACCAAGGTCAGTGGAGGAATGGAGGAAGAAAGGGGGGGGGAAGTGTGCCGGAGCAGAGACCTGTATCCTGTGGTGAGATGGCAGGGCGGCCCCCCCCTGCCACCCATGAAGATCTACGGTGGAGCAGACATTGATTTACAGCGTGTTGTTCCTGCTCAGCTGATCAATGTGCTGTGCCCGAAGAAGGCCGCGGTCTCATGGGAAAAAGGTAGCCCCGCTGCTGTAATTCAGCGCTGGGAGGATTGCAGCACGCGGGGGAGTCCCACGCCAGAGCAGCTCGGGAACGGCTGCAGCCGTGGGAGAGAATCCAGTCGGAGGAAGTTAGTGACCCATGACGGAGCAGTGTGGGGAACGCTGCAGCCCATGGGAGGAATTCAAGTCGGAGGAAGTTTGTGGAGGACTGTCTCCTGTGAGAGGGGGACCACAATGGAGCAGGGTGGAACAAGTTTTGGACACTCCCCTCACCGAACATGAAGGAAGTGGCAGCACTGACTGCACCCCCCCATTCCCTGCCCCTGCGCCACTGGGGGAGGAGGTAGAGATATCGGGAGCAGAGCTGAGCCCGGGAAGAAGGGAGGGGTGGGGGGAAGGTGTTCTCAAGATGTGGCAAGGCTTCTCACTGTCCTACTCTGTTATGTGTTGTTAGTGTCTGTAATAAATGTATGTTCTTTTTTTTCTTCCCCTAACGAGTCTGCCTTTTGCTCATGATCATAAAAGGGGGATTTTCCCCCATCCCAGTCCTATCTCGAACCCCAAGCCTGGTTCTCTGTCCCTTCTCATTGCCGGAGGGGAAGGGAGAGAGAGCTGCTGCATTGTGGTTGGCTGTCAATCAGGCCCAAACCACGACAGCGAGTTATGAATTCGTATCAGCTAGCAGTGGCATGCATGAATGTATCAGAATTAACTAAAGTTGCTATGAGGGACAACTAACTTTAATTGAACATGTAAATACTTTTTCTAAAGTGTTCACTGCTGAAGTACCTCTTCTGAAAATCAGTAGAACAAACAGAAGCTGACTTTTGCCTTTATCTGCCTTGCAGACTACTGTAACTGTCTTATAACTCTCATGTGTAACCAGTTGTATGTGAAGAGCAGATCTGAACAATGATGGAGCGCTGGGGAAATGACATCTACACCTTGCTAAGACTTGCTACTTTATTCTTTCTCTTAAACGTTTCAGCTCCCTGACCTATCACGCTTATGCCAGTGAAACCATGCTGTTACCTTTGGCGTGGTTTTGGAAAAAGAGCATGAAATAAGCCCACACTTAACCATTACAGAAAATAAGGTGCTTGTAACAAAATTTTTCAAGGTGTTTAGAGTTATGGTAGTTTTATGGTTTATATAAAAGTTGATCTTTGAAAATTTTGGAGAGCAGTATAACAAAATAAGTACTTAAACTTGATCTAGGGAAATAAGTGTTCCTTTCCCAATTTTATGCCATTGAGAGTAGTTACTAACACAAGTGGAAGTGTATTGATCTCTTTAAAAATTCATAAAATAATTCTTTTAATACATTAATTTTGTATTGCTGCAGAGGTTAATTACCTGCATCTGAGGGTGAAGCTTCTGCTCACAGGGAGTAAGTAAGAATGTATGAATTCTATCAGTCTGATACGAGCAAGAGAGCATAGATAAGGGTAAAAAACAACTTCAATAAAGTTTAGATTGTATCTTAGGCAATATGTCCAGAAAAGAAGACAGTGAATTAATATCTAGACATTTTAAAGATATATTTTTTTCCACCACACAGCAATACCAATTCCTGTTCTGTTTTTCAAGGATAGAAGAGCTTGAACAGTTCCATTACTCCTCCTTTCTCAATCTCATGTGCAGGCAGTTTGGTGCTATTAAGATAATCTGATTGTATGCTGTTTTATAGAGGAGCGTTTTCTTCAGAGCACAGGATGGATGCTGTGGTGACAGCGAATCAGAACTGTGTAATAAAAGGAAGTGTTTTATCTAACACTCATACTATACTTTTTGCAGAAGTTGTAAGAGGTAGTATGAATGAGATACGAGTTGCAAGTGGGAGTGTGTTTGAGTACTGATTTTGGTTTGTGACTGACAGCCAAGAGACCTGGAACCTACCTGCTGTAAAATTCCTTTATGATGCTAGTAACATCACTGACACCAAACACTTTCCGTTACCAAGTAAGTACAGCACAGGGTTTGGAGAGTTTTCTGTTTACAAACTGAAAGCCTGACACAGAACACAGGTGTCTGCAGTGGAAAATGCATGGGGGCTACATTCTGATCCTGTGATGCATCCATGAGGCTCCCTCCTGCCTTTGCTTTTAGGGCCTGCTTGTTCACACTGCATTTGTACTGGTTCACTTCCGTCATCTCTTCGGAACAAACGAACTAGCTCCCTCTCTAGCAAACCTATCTGCATAGCTTGTCTGATGTTTCCAGTCAAGCGATGTGAATATGTACCACGCTGAAACTGACTGCTTCTACCTAGCGCAGTCTTACAGCTTTGTACCATCTCTCAAACACTTCTACGTTCTAGCATATACATAAAATTTTTATCTAACTTAAAACATCTTATAATTTTTGTCCTTCTGAACTGAAAAGACACAAAAAGTAATAATCATGTCTTTTGGCCACAGAGACACCACATGGATCACAGCAGAAGTTAGGCCAAGTGGTGCAAGGGCAAGAGCCAGTCTGCAACAGTTGGACTGGGGTATAGAAACCTTTTCCTGGTGCTGTGTTATGAAGGCAGTGTCAACAGGGTTATGAAGTACTTCAGATGGCAAATTCTCTCAAACTAGTAAAAATAAAAACCAAAATCTACCTTTAAGCACCGATCTCAAAGTATCTAATAATGTATTCAGTTTTAATAGGTATTTGCCATCTAGACACCTTTACTGGTAAAGAATGAAAGCAGAAACTGGAGATAATACTGGTCATCGTCACAGGAGTATGCAAATAACTTAATGGATGTTTTCTAATTACTTGGATACTCCAGTGGAGAACACCAGAGGAAGTCCACAAGGATATTGCAAAATATGTCAGAAGAGCAGATTTAGAGTAACTAGTTAAGAGTGAAGCATGGGCTTGCATAGCATCCAGAAAGAAAAGCCCTGCCTCCTACATAGTTGCATCATGGGGACCTGGGTTTAGTGCCAGATGTTCTGGAGAAGACCATATTTAGTTATATTATAGTAAAAGTCATGTAATAAAGTGTCATATAAGATCACCTGTTGCTCTACTAAAGGACCAAATACCAACTCTGGTAAAAATATTTTTTACGTGTACTAACAGTGATTATAACATCCAGCAGCACATAAAAAATTTGCTTTTCTTGTGCTAACAATCTACCTTCATAGAAACACAACCTTAAAATAGTTTACTTGACAAAGCCTGGGGTTTTTGTTGTATGTGGTAAACAGAATGGAGTTAGTGAATGCATATTAATGACTACAGACAGAAATAATTTTATTAACTATCTCAGTATTTTACAATGTCAATTGATTCAAGGTGTAGTAAAACTAAAAAGAAATCCAAGTATGTTTGAAATATAAACCTAAACACAAAAGACCTTCAGACAGTCCGAACTGTACCCTTTTAGTGAAAATTCTCAGTAACTATAAAATTTTGACCAAAATATATCAGTATTTCTGTTCTCAGCTTACACTGCTTTAAAACTCAAAAAAGTTTTTTTGCTGCCTTTCTTCCCCTTGTACATAGAGACAGTTGGAGTTAGGGTTGTCAGGAAAAAGGTATTTGGGCCTTTGGATAGACCAGAAAAGTCCCTGGTCTTCTCTGATATAATTTCGTGCTTTAGTGTTTGTTTAGCCCTCAGCTTTTTTCTGAGGAGCAGAGTTTAACAGTAAAAACAGGGAGCTTAAGCCAGAAAGCTATCAAATAGGAGTATTGATCTAAGAAAATTGAGTTAGTAGGATTTAGGCTTAGTTTTCCTTGCAGTAGTTATAGGAATTAACATGTTTTTGCAAAGTCATTGCTTCAGAGTTCAACATAACACATTAAGCAGTTTTCTTAGTGGTTTTAAATTACCAGAGTGACATTTCTTTGCTACTGCTTTGACTCCTTTTTATTTTAAGGGGTGGGGGATGTTAACTCTAATAGTGGCTTAAGTAAGAAGCGTCTCGTTAGAAAGAAGACTTAAAGTTGCCTTTCATGCACTGCAGTCTGCATATAACTCTGAGAAAACTGTGAGGTGGACATAAACACCTAGAAATTACAGTTAATTGGGAGACAGTAAACAGCCATTTATTTCATTCCTCAAAATCCCCAGCAGTTGGCATTTCCTTAGTTAGGGATTAGCAGTCATCAGTATAATTGCCATTGTGGGAGAATAATGCTTCTATCTCATCAGTGATCTGATCTGTGTTCACATCTGTAGAATATGAACATACAGGTTGCATATCTGTCTGTATCTGCATCTGCTTAGTTGCCATTATTACAGTTAGTTGTTTGAGAACTGGGATGTGAGGAGGGGCTCGAGGGAACCAGTATCATTTTTGTGAAATTATGTGTAAAAGTCTGATGCCCGAGATTCTGCCACCAAAAAAAAAAAAAAGTTACACGACGTTTGTATGCAGAGGAAAGAATTTCTTCTTACATGTTTAAAAGTCTGTAAAGCATACAAATAACAAATACCTGGGTTTATCTGCCATTGAAATCTAACAGTAACAACAACAGTAAAATGGTAATTTACTGT